GTGTTTATTTTCAATCTGCAATCCCTATCTAAAATTCACTTTTGAGAAAATAAAGAAATAGGAGGAGTGAATAACATGTTGAACAAAACTGCTTATACCGAACCGACTGTTAAAACATTTATTTATTTTGTTTGTTAGCTGCAGTAATATAATATGTTTTGTGCTGGGCCACCTTTTGTATAACAAACTATGTATATAAAAAACTAAAATTAGTAAACTTGTCGTACATCCTACATTTCACAATGGAGACCCTACACAATCGGTAATTCCAAACTGGAACCAAACAAAGACTGTAAGAAGTAACCAGCGCGTCAAGGACATAGTAAGCAGGTCGAAGGGAAATAACTCTAGTTGTATTCAAAGAAGTGTCTGTAAAATCCACATGATGTGTATTACATGTATTCTTGAAATTTGCGGTGACATTACTCAGTGACTGACTGACTGAGTTTGGTTTTACGCCGCTTTTAGCAATATTCCAGCAACATCACGGCGGGGAACACCAGAAATGGGCTTCACACATTGTACCCATGTGGGGATTCAAACCCGGGTCTTCGGCGTGACGAGCCAACGCTTTAACCACTAGGCTACCCCACCGCCCATATTACTCAGTGAATTGAAACTTATTAACAACAGTAATGATAGCAATTATATCATTTTGACACACATCTGATGAGATTAAAATCACGCCTATTTCAATCTGCTTCCAGCTATCACGGAACAAAATGAAGTCTTTGGTAGTTACCTGAGTATTCAAATGTCCTGCATGCACTGAGATTTGTCTTGGGTCAGATGTTGTCGAGATCCTTACTCACTAAACAGTCATGTTTTACCGTTTATACTCACACGCGCTCTTGTGGTATTCGCCCACAGAGATATATTTAGCCCCCTACGCAATGTTAAAAGAACAAGAATTGTATGATTTTTTGTGTATTGAAAAGCGTGCTATGTGAGATACACAGAGAGGTGCAAAATGTATTCGGACACTTGGCGTAATTTCCATAGACTTACATGTTAATTAAGTGTAGCATAAATAATGTTCATGAATTTAATTTTCAAATTTTGCACATTTGTGAGAAATCATCTTACCTACAATCACATAATTTCTGTTTAATTGTCCTGTGTATCTCCATGTCAAAGAGTCCTATTGTTATATCAACACTGACAATCGTCTTTTCCATCCTAGACCTACATGTTGACTACACTTATATTAGACCAAAATCTAGACCAAGATCTAGCCTTTAATCTGGACAGGGACCAAGACCTACATTTAGACGGACACCTAGTTCTACCTACAGCCGGAGACTCACAGCTAGATCTCAGTCGATACCTACAAACCGCCTGGTGTAGAGGATAGAGCTTCTGCCCCTCACTTAAATCTACGCCTACACATAAATATACGCCTACACTTAAATCTACGCCTACACATAAATCTACGCCTACACTTAAATCTACGCCAACACAACAACCCGGCTACACCTACACACAAATATACACCAACGCATAAATTAACCTACACCAACGCATAAATTAACCTACACCAACGCATAAATTAACCTACACCTACACAACCTTCACCTACAGGCTACATCCACATCCACATCTACGACGACACATAAATCTGAAGTACTGTATAACTAAGCATACACTATGTCAATAATTGTCAATTCATTAATAAGAAATGCTGGTCAACGGCCGTAAATGATGATATCAAATCTCAGCGTGATAAAGTGTTTAATGTCCATATTGTAATCTCCATTCAATTGGGGGAAATAAAGAATTATATCTATCTACAATCTACATCTACTCCTACACAATCTACACCTACATCCACATCTATGCCTACACCCACACCTACACCCACACCAACACAGACACCTACAACTACATCCACATCCACACCTACACAATCTACACCTACATCCACATCTATGCCTACACACACCTACACCCACACCAACACAGACACTCTACAACTCCACATCCACATTCTACACAATCTGCACCTACATCCACATCTGTGCCCACACTCACACCTACACCCACAGACACCTACAACTACATGCACATCCACATCCTACACAATCCACACCTTACATCCACATCTATGCCCCACACCCACACACCTACACCTACACCCTACACAGACACTTACAACTATATCCACATCCACACCTACACACTACACACCTGCACCTACACCTACATCTATCTACACCACCTTTTCACCCACACCTACACCTCAGACAACTACAATTTGCTAACTACACCACATCCACACTCCTACACACCTCTGCACTCTGTCCACATCTATGCCTACACCTACTACCTACACCTACACCATACACAGACACTCTACAACTACATCCACACCCTATACCTCCTTACACACATCCACATCTATGCCTACACCCATACACCTCACCCACACCATATGCCTCTATACACATCCACACTTCTACACACCTACACCTACATCCACATTGCTCCTACATGCTCCACACCCACACTACACACAGACACCATATTTATATGCATCCACACACCTACACCAATCTACATCCACATCTATGCCTACACTCTGCACTCTACACCCACACCAACACAGACACCTACAACTACATGCACATCCACACCTACACACCTACACTCTACATCCACATCTGTGCCTACACCCCACACCTGCACCATGGGACACAGACACCTGCTAACTACATGCACATCCACACCTAGACACCTGCACCCTACATCCACATCTATGCCTACACCCACACCTACACACCACACACAGACAGACTACAACTACATCCACATCCACACCTACACAATTCACACCTTGCATCCACATCTATGCTCACACCCACACCTACACCCACACCAACACAGACACTCACACACCTACACCTACATCTCCATTCTACCTACACCTACACACATCCACACCTACACACACCTACATACATCCACATCTATGCCTACACCCACACCTACACCCACACCAACACAGACACCTACAACTACATCCACATCCACACCTACACAATCTACACCTACATCCACATCTATGCCCACACCCACACCTACACCCACACCCACACAGACACCTACAACTACATCCACACCTACACAATCTACACCTACATCCACATCTATGCCCACACCCACACCTACACCCACACCAACACAGACACCTACAACTACATCCACATCCACACCTACACAATCTACACCTACATCCACATCTATGCCTACACCCACACCTACACCCACACCAACACAGACACCTACAACTACATCCACATCCACACCTACACAATCTACACCTACATCCACATCTATGCCTACACCCACACCAACACAGACACCTACAACTACATCCACATCCACACCTACACAACCTACACCTACACAATCTACACCTACATCCACATCTATGCCTACACCCACACCTACACCTACACCCACACAGACACCTACAACTACATCCACACCTACACAATCTACACCTACATCCACATCTATGCCTACACCCACACCTACACCCACACCAACACAGACACCTACAACTACATCCACACCTACACAATCTACATCCACATCCACACCTACACAATCTACACCTACATCCACATCTATGCCTACACCCACACCAACACAGACATCTACAACTACATCCACACCTACACAATCTACACCTACATCCACATCCACATCCACACCTACACCATCTACACCTACATCCACATCTATGCCTACACCCACACCAACACAGACATCTACAACTACATCCACATCCACACCTACACACCTACACCTACATCCACATCCACACCTACACAATCTACACCTACATCCACATCTATGCCTACACCCACACCTACACCCACACCCACACAGACACCTACAACTACATCCACACCTACACAATCTACATCCACATCCACATCTACACCTACACAATCTACACCTACATCCACATCTATGCCTACACATAAATCTACATCAACACCCACGTCTACATATATCCATAACTCCATCTACGGTTATACACATGGGTAGATGTCAGAAAACTTCATGAACAAAACCCTACCAGCAAAATCATGAATTGCTGTCATTAAACAGCTGACCTCATATTGATATCGGGGTAAATTTTATTTGTTGCACAAGAAAGTGATCTGTTCAAGTAGGTTGTGTCCCTTAATGAGAACCTGGTCCATATGCACGTACCACCTGGCACCTCAGGTACAGTACGTAATGGAGAACGGATATTATAGTCTTTTTTTATGAGAGTTGATACTGGGCTCGATTTAGGTGGTCAATCAAATTACGTCAGTCAGTGTGACCCTATCAGAGATAAGATGGGAAGTTAATTCAGCGTGACAGGTGGCCATCAATCGTCCAGAGCGAGTGGCGGATCTTCACTTTGACTACGGTCATTAACCCCGGCAGTGACGTAACGCTGACAGTCTTGGCGACACGACCTGGGGCTTCCAAATATAGGGTAGCTTTACATGAATGATGAATATATACAATCAACATTTCAGAGATTTATTTCCCCACCTCACTCGCGAAGCAACATGTGTCTATGTGTAGATTTACGGACTTATCTCCCTTACTCCGCGCAGTATCCGTGACTATGTTACAAGCACAATGTTGTGCTCCAGGCACTGTAAGGAATTGTCTAGCATGACTTTCTCAAACTAACGTTATATCTTGTTATTACGCAATATCGCCAGTAGTATAACGACGATAATAGGCCATGGTCACCTGTGACCTAGATAGTTAATATATCAGTAGCAGCCTTTTCCGCTCCACGTTATTCTCTAGACGACGTTCCCTCACAGATGGACCTTGCCTTTTGATGGCACCGGTTCACAACGCTGAAAATGTAACCTCCAGCGGACAGGTATGATATATGCAGTTGAAGGATTACGTAGTTTTCTTATTCCATTACGTCATGGCATTTATGAACATCTCGTCACAAACTGCGAGAATCACGTCATGTCTGTGACGTCATACCACTGTTGATTGTGTTTCTGGTGACGAATCATCGCAGCCAAGAAGTACTAACTATTTTGGGTAAGTATAGATTGTATACCGTGTTTTCCAAACAACTTCCAATATTATTCCTTTATATTAATTTGGTTATAGTGGTTTCTCATAAATCCATTTTAAGTGTAAATATTCGGGAATTATAAAGACGGTTATCTCAATCAGATTAAGTGGAATAAATAATGGTTCCTGAAACGGTTCCATGTATTATGACATCTGCTCAGACTTCTGTTAGACATCTCATCTTCATCTTTGGGGCTGAAGAGGTTTATAGTGAAATGCATGTTTAACAGACCTGTTCGGAACATATGTACAAAATGCTTATCCCGTTTCATCACATTGGTTTGACTTTAGCAAAAGGGATTGGACTATTTCCATAGTTACATATGCGTCCCCAGCTAGGGGATATGGAGGGAAGGGGAGATGTGTAGCATATTTTGTATAATCTAAGTACACCGCCATCTTACATTCGCCCTTGGCTAATGTTCTGTGCTGCTCATTCTGCTATGTTAAGCCCAGTAGATTTGATTTAACAGTATATCGAAGTGTAAATCAATACAAACATTATGACGGGGCGTCCTTGTTTCCCTGACAGACTACAGAAGACGATGAGTGTGTGGATCGCTTCCTCAGCCGTTGTTGCAGGTGCCTATGTAGCTTTGAAAGGTATGTCCAGTCTCGGCCATGGATGACCCTCTGATCGTACCTACTTACATATGCATTAACTTGATATCTGCAATGCGATCACCATTAACTGCCAAGCCCCGGGCTATGATCCACACTCCTGGCATACATATACGTAGTTTGTCTACTACTTATCTACCCTTATGTAGATGATAGTGAATTATTTTACGAGCGTGCGAAAACTGTTCACGGACTTTTTAATCGCTCATTAAAGTGAGTGAGTGAGTATGGTTTTACGCCGCTTTTAGCAATATTCCAGCAATATCACGGCGGGGGACACCAGAAATGGGCTTCACGCATGTGGAGAATCGAACCCGGTTCTTCGGCGTGACGAGCGAACGCTTTAACCACTGGGCTACCCCACCGCCCCATTAAAGTAGGCTACCCAGTGGTTGATAGCGCGAGCAGCGTCGGGTTCGATGGCAAGCAGTAAGCCAAGTCACACAATATGACCACCAGCCCCACTTACACCGATATTAAGCCCTAACATTCTTCAATGTATTCTCATTTTTTCAATTTCAGTCGCGTTTTCATGGTATGAGACGACCCAATGTCCAGCCCTGACCAGAGTGGAAGTTGAAATTATACCCCTGCCTTCCTCTCCTCTTCTCCTTGGGGTCAAACGCTGCACCATTCTCGACCGTCGACCCGTCTGTCGGGTGATGCTAAAGTTGCGAATCTGAAACTTGCCGCATCCGAGCTTTACCGCCGCTCGAGAGAGACGCTGTGAACCGGTTTATAATTGCAAACTATAAAACTGATATCTAGATAAATATGATATGTAGAACTGAAGAAAGGAGTGTCAGATAAAGGCACTCAACTGTTGTTTTATGAGGAATATTGTGTATATTCTGTTGTCGATGTCTCCAGAATCACCGGGAATTTTCATTATCATTGTGTAATATGAAGTGCTATTTAGTTTTGTCAAAATAAAATGTCACAAAGAAACATCTCGTCTTCCTTACACCACATGACTATCGATTCGTTTGTCTGGACACGTTGCGGTCAGTCACATTGGCATAAATTGAACTATTATACAAAAAGGAGAGGGTCTCTATTTTTCGGTGGTTTCTCATTGAGAGATTGTCCCATTCCTGCTATGCGACTGGCTGCGTATGCTTCGACTAGATGAGAATAATTCTAAAAGCCTTCGACTTGATACATTATCGCCGTACCCTTGGGGATGACGGGGTATAACGTAGTAACACAAGTTAATCACAATGCTATTCATTTTTATTGGCTTTGGATTTTTCATTAAGCTTCATTGCGATTAGAGATGAATCAAAGGTTGTTCTTTAGTATTCATCTTCAATGCTTTTTAAACGATCGAAACATAGGCCAGTCGACATTGGCATAACCAGAACGGTTGCATCTGTCAAACAGGTACAAAGGCAAATGTTTGACAGTGAAATTACGTGCTTTGAAACTTTGTGTGTATGACACCATAGTGTGTGTATAAGAACGTGTTTTCGATCAATCGCTGACAGTGAACTTTCACTCTCTTGATTACGTTTTGAGTTACTATCTATACCATCTCATGAAGTGGCTAACGTTTAATGCAAATCACAAGTACGAAACTAGCGACTACTTGTGACCAAAATGTTGGCTTTGTTTGAACTCGTTGCTAGTCCAAACAAAGATGGCGGCGTAAATATAGATGTTTGGCGGACGTTAGTATCGGCTGCACATATAACCTCTACGATGGAGTAATGTAAGCATTTTCTTCATATATTCCTATATACACCTACATACATCAATGCTATTTGTCTTGAATTTTGCACATGTTTGCAAGATCGAAAATTATACATTGAATGTCAGACTTGAACTTCATCAGTACTGGCTGCAGCATAAGTCTGACATTCATCATGAAGTTGATTCGGGAGCAGTGCCCTTCACTGTCGTACTTTTGACAATATTTACGAAAGTGACAAGTACTAGTCAGTTTCAAACAATGTTTTTCTCCGTTGCTGTTACGAAGTGGGATAACTGATTCAGCTCCCTTTCAGATTTTTGTTGTTTTTAAGCTGGTATGTTGGAATTTAAATAGACATAAAATAGTCGCTTGAAATTGTTGGGTTTTTCTAGTTGAACTTTTCAATTCACACACTTGAAGCAGATTTGCAGTCAGTACAGACTCAATGTAATTATTTTTCGTCTTTTAGCAATGTGTTCATAAGGGACCATTTGATGAGAGGATCAAATAATCATGTTTGCTTGTTATATAATGCAACACTCAGCATTATTCCTGATGGCAGCCTGTAATTATCAAGTCTAGACAAGAGAAACCACTGCCTGTTTATTCTAAACAGTTGAAACCTAAAGAGGTAGTGCTGTATTCAGTTATAGGAAGCGTTTATAACTATGCATAGTAATTAATAGTCATTAATGCTGCTCCACTTGTGAATACAGTTTTGATCCAGAAAAGTTGTCAGCTTTTGAAGTAGTACTAAATATAGCCTGAGACATTATACGGGCAAAGAGAAGACATATCAGTATCCGTCCTCTTCCAAATAACAGAGTGTTTCAAGTCAAATTCATTCACAGTGACTTCACATTGTAATCTGTTAACATTTGCATGATATACAAGGTAATTTAAGTCACATGGAAACGAGTTGAATGTATCTAATTGAATTGTCCCTTACCATGCCTACAGGTCTGCACAAAGATCACAAAGATTGTGTGTCATGAGAGTCAGTTGAAGTGAGCATCTTTAAAAATCCTTTGACACAGGCTGCAGAACTTCTGTGTAAAGTTAAAAGTATTTCATTCCAGGGCTTTCTGGATCATGATCTTATCAAAATTACAGAGAATGTGATTATATGGATTGGTTGTGAAAAAGTAAAATTAAGTTGTCAATCATCTGTGACAATACATGCAGCAAACATATACATGCCTGCCACAAGTCATTGTCAACTCAAAACTTAGCCTTGGGACAAAATTCTAATCTCTCACACCTTAATCTCTTACCACCTGGTATAAAACACTGAACTACATATGCCCCTTTTGATAATTCTAGAACTTCTATTTTGAATAGGAATCATAAACTACAGTAATTAATATTGGGATTGTGTGTCTCTTTAAAACTATGTCACATATATGCAAGGGAGATTGCTCATCATCTTAAATGCAATATTCTAGGATCAGTGCAGTCTGAACACTGTTTTGCTTTGCTTGCCTTTTCAGTAACTGTTAATTAAATGTATGGACCCATTTTTCAGAGTTTTGATTTGAATTTCAACACCACTGGCCAGAAAAATAGTCTTTCAGTATGGGTAAGAAAGGGAAGAAGGGGAAGAAAGGAAAAAAGGGGAAGAAAGGAGGGAAGAAGAGCAAGGAACCTCAGATGACAGCAAAGGAAGCTATCCTGGGATATCAGTGAGTTGTAACACTTAACAACCTGAATGCTCTGAACTTTGATAACTCCGTACATGGATAACTCTCTATTGTAATGATATAAGTGTTCATTCTATGTCACTTTCTTCAGGTCCAACGACCCATATTATCATGATTATGTTTCCAGATTGTCAACACCATACTTGTGCTTATGAGTTTCAGGGAGGTGGGGTAGCCTAGTGGTTACAGCATTCATTCATCAAGCCAAAGACCCGGGTTCGATTCCCCACATGGGTACAATGTGTGAAGCCCATTTCTGGTGTCCCCCACTGTAATATTGCTGAAATATTGCTGAAAGCAGCATAAAACAAACTCACTCACTCATGAATTTCAACGAAATGGTAAACTGTCTAAAGCCTGCATCACCTCAGTTTTCTATCTGTCATTAGCTGGACGACTATCCAATATGTACAAGGCAAAAGTGAACCTCATGATAATTCAGTCCAGATGGAAATTGTCATTCCCTGGTTTTAGACTACCGGTAATAACTGAACACATAGTAACATGATCAAAACAAACCTAGCCTTTTGTACCACTGGAAGTGATATCCTAATGTCATTCATTCATATGTGATATAATTGAATCAGCAATAGTAAATACAACAGTGGCTTGTCAAGATTATAAAGTTACATAACAACAACTGTTCTTGGTCTATGTGTCTTTGTATTCAAAACAACTTATACTGGTATCTCTTGACACGGCTGAATCTTCATATGTAAAACACACACACATGTCAAAATGGACATAGTTTACATGACAACACACCATGATGTATACCATGTGGACATCATCTGTGCATGCAGTGGCATCAGAAGAGTTACCTCCCTTGGATTGTTAACACAACGACACACCACGATGTATACCATGTGGACATCATCCGTGCATGCAGTGGCATCAGAAGAGTTAGCTCCCTTGGATTGTTAATCCATGATGTATAAACTGTAGTTACAATGATTTTCGATAGTTACACTAGTTATTCCACCACTGTAACTTGTAGTTAGTTGTCATGCCATGAAATCTGCTATTCTGACATATATCTACAAAATCATAATGTTTTTGTTTGCAGGATCAATATTGTGGAGAAGAAATTAGAGGATGTTTCTTTTGAGATCCGTGGCTGGGAGGAGAAGAACAAACGCCACCTTGAGAGGGTAGGCAACCAAATTCAATTTGGATTAGATGCACACATGCACACACGCTTATGTACATACGCAATGCACGCAACACGCGCGCACGCGCACGCGCTCACACACGCACACACACACACACACACACACACACACACAGAGAGCTTGTGTCCAGGGATATTGTGGGTGTGTAGCTGTATGGGTGTGTCAAGGATTGTCTGCTGCTTGTGTCCAGGGATATTGTGGGTGTGTAGCTGTATGGGTGTATCAAGGATTGTCTACTGCTTGTGTCCAGGGATATTGTGGGTGTGTAGCTGTATGGATGTGTCAAGGATTGTCTGCTGCTTGTGTCCAGGGATATTGTGGGTGTGTAGCTGTATGGGTGTATCAAGGATTGTCTACTGCTTGTGTCCAGGGATATTGTGGGTGTGTAGCTGTATGGATGTGTCAAGGATTGTCTGCTGCTTGTGTCCAGGGATATTGTGGGTGTGTAGCTGTATGGATGTGTCAAGGATTGTCTGCTGCTTGTGTCCAGGGATGTTGTAGGGGTGCTGTCAGTGTGTAGCAGGGTGTGGTGTATGGCATATGTTATTACTGATAGTTATCCCCCTTGACTTCTCCAGAATGAAAAACTAAAGTCTGAACAGCTGCTGCTAGTGGAGCATCTTCTCAAGCAGGCCAAGGATGCAGAGCGGTTCTTTGAGTCAGAGGAAATCAAAAACAGGGAAGATGTCATCCTGGCCATGAAGAACATGTGGCTTCTTCGACGGCAACGAGAGAAGGAACTAGAAGGTGGGTGTGTTTTTTGCAAGAAAACTATCCATTCAAATTCTGTTTTATAAATTAAGCCTTTTATTCTCCAAAACAAAATCATATTTAAGGAAAAAGGTTTGTTTAACTGCTATCTGACTTAATTCATTGAAACCCTGAAGTCACTGTAATTCAACATGCTCTTGAATGCTCAACCACAGCAGAGATATTCATTCATTTTAATGAGGCATGTCATTTGTTGGCTGACCTAGCTGCTCCTGTCCTATTTGCAGAAAAGAAGAGTGCAATAGCCATGGAGCAGACTAAAATAGAGGAAGTGTCAAAGGAGGTCCAGTGCTGGTCTTGGTACCGGGACAAGGGCAAGGCGGAGCATGAGAAGCAGATCCGCATCCTAGAGCAGGAGCTGCAAGACATGCAGAACAGCTTTGATGAGATGGCAGGTATGTTATTCAGTTTGAATCATCATTGGGGGTACTGGTGGCCTATTGGAGTTGTCATAATGAGCTATATAGAGTTACTTCCCTTTGCCATGTTTACTGGTACATTGTCAAACCCTGTATGACTCATACCATGTGATGTCATCATAAGACCATCACATATTTATGTGTAAGGTGGAGTGTTAAGATGGCTTTCTGGAACAAGGCTTTGTTCTATGTTGTCTCCTACTAGGACCAATAATTGTGTCAGGGGAATTGGATTCTTTTTCAGAAGAAGTCCTCCTTGGGGTACATATAAGCATTAAAATGTCCATTTTGAAACTTACGACAGTTGTAACAATATGTTTTAATAAAATGTTTACAAAACAAAAAACACATTTTTGTCTTGTGAGACCACCCCTACAGGTTTTCAAGGAGATGCTGTTTATTCATGGATGATTTCCTGTGTTTGAATGAGTGCTTGTTTGAAGATGGCACTACCTGTTCCAGGTCACCTGAACAAGTCACTGGAGAAGTCCCGAGCTGAGGTAGATAAGTACACAGAGGAGACTCTGGCCAAACAGAAGGATCTGGCCTCAGAGGTAGGGACATACTGGCAACACTGTGGGGTTACACACTTGGTGTGGATCTGTTACCACTTTACTATTGTCTTGTTGGATAGGGGAGGCTGGGTATGGAAATGGATTCTGTCTATTGGGTCAACCATACATTAAACTACAAATGAATCATATCAGAAATGTGCTTGTGCAGTTTGAAAAGTTTCTTAATCTTATCAGTACATGTACATGGGAATCTTGACTTTCCATTTAAACCCAATGTTTTTGGCACAGTTTGTTGTGCAGAGTTGTGTCCCCTGGGAGCACCAGAAACCTATGATTGTGGATTCAAATCCAGGTTTGCTAGAATTATGTTTCAAGGTTTGAAATTAAACCGAGCAAGGGGGTGTTTAAATTTTCAGTTGAGCTTAAAGGTTGACTGATCACTTACAGCTATAACGAATATAACAGATTCTTTTCACAACTTGTTCAGCATCTGCACACAAGTTTTGAAGGGTTGAGATGCTCCAACTGGCCACTGATGCTGTTTTGAATACTGATGTGATAGTTTGGAAGAGGTTAGTAATGTCTCTGTGCTTACAGAAAGCCATTGCCCACATGGACAAGTACAGCCGGCAGGAAGTGCTGGACAATGACTGGCTCAAAAGGGAGGTAGGTCAACATGGCAGTAAATGTAAACACAGCATCTCACACAGGCTGGCTTGAAATAATAGATATATCAAAGGAACCCTTCTAGCCATACTTGATCATGTCAGAGGTCCATCCATGGCATATTTATTTGACTATGTTGACATTTCTAGAGGCCTCAATGTCTCAACCTTACCTGAAATCTCATCTCATAAAATGTATGATTGAAATAAGCACAAAATACACATTTTTTCAATTAAGTACGACATATATGTATTTTTTATTCCTTTGGATGTCAGTCACTGTTAGTGACACATGACACAATGTTTCTTGTTATTTGCCTAAACAAGCCTTGCTGAAACTTCAATCGCATTCTTTTTTCACAGTACTCCCAACAATTATGGTTGTAGGACCTGTTTTGTCTGAGCCTCATGTTGTTGTGTGTGTACCATGTGCAGGTGATGATCCATCCCGCTGTTGTGTGTGTACCGTGTGCAAGTGATGATCCATCCCTTTATTGTGTGTGTACCATGTGCAGGTGATGATCCATCCCTTTGTTGTGTGTGTACCATGTGCAGGTGATGATCCATCCTGTTGTTGTGTGTGTACCATGTGCAGGTGATGATCCATCCTGTACAGGTGATGATGTTGTTGTGTGTGTACCATGTGCAGGTGATGATCCATCCTGTTGTTGTGTGTGTACCATGTGCAGGTGATGATCCATCCCTTTGTTGTGTGTGTACCATGTGCAGGTGATGATCCATCCCTTTGTTGTGTGTGTACCATGTGCAGGTGATGATCCATCCCTTTGTTGTGTTTGTACCATGTGCAGGGTGATGATCCATCCCTTTGTTGTGTGTTGTACCATGTGCAGGTGATGATCCATCCCTTTGTTGTGTGTGTACCATGTGCAGGTGATGATCCATCCCTTTGTTGTGTGTATGTACCATGTGCAGGTGATGATCCATCCCTTTGTTGTGTTTGTACCACGTGCGCAGGTGATGATCCATCCCTTTGTTGTGTGTGTACCATGTGCAGGTGATGATCCATCCCTTTGTTGTGTGTACCGTACCATGTGCAGGTGATGATCCATCCCTTTGTTGTGTGTGTACCATGTGCATGATGCCATCCCTTGATGATCCATCCTTTGTTGTGTACCATGTTTGTGTGTGTACCATGTGCAGGTGATGATCCATCCCTTTGTTGTGTTGTTATGCGGTGTACCATGTGCGGGTGATGATCCATCCTTTGTTGTGTGTGTACCATGTGCAGGTGATGATCCATCCATTGTTGTGTTGTGATGATCCATCCCTTTGTTACCATGTGCAGGTGATGATCCATCCTGTTGTTGTGTGTGTACCATGTGCAGGTGATGATCCATCCCTTTGTTGTGTGTGTACCATGTGCGGGTGATGATCCATCCTTTGTTGTTATTATGTACCATGTGCAGGTGATGATCCATCCCTTTGTTGTGTTCCATGTACCATGTGCGGGTGATGATCCATCCCTTTGTTGTGTGTGAACCATGTACCATGTGCGGGTGATGATCCATCCCTTTGTTGTGTGTGTACCATGTGCAGGTGATGATCCATCCCTTTGTTGTGTGCGGGTGATGATCCATCCCTTTGTTGTGTGTGTACCATGTGCAGGTGATGATCCATCCCTTTGTTGTGTGTGTACCATGTGCAGGTGATGATCCATCCCTTTGTTGTGTGTGTATTCCATTGTTGTGCAGGTGCAGGGTGATGATCCATCCCTTTGTTGTGTGTGTACCATGTGCAGGTGATGATCCATCCCTTTGTTGTGTGTGTACCATGTGCAGGTGATGATCCATTCCATTGTTGCGTGTAGGTGATGATCCATCCCTTTGTTGTGTGTGTACCATGTGCAGGTGATGATCCATCCCTTTGTTGTGTGTGTACCATGTGCAGGTGATGATCCATCCTTTGTTGTGTGTGTACCTGTGTGCAGGTGATGATCCATCCATTGTGTTTGTACCATGTGCAGGTGATGATCCATCCCTTGTTGTTGTATACCCATGTGCAGGTGATGATCCATCCCTTTGTTGTGTGTGTATCCATGTGCAGGTGATGATCCATCCCTTTGTTGTGTGTGTGTACCATGTGCAGGTGATGATCCATCCCTTTGTTGTGTGTGTACCATGTGCAGGTGATGATCCATCCCTTTGTTGTGTGTGTGTACCATGTGCAGGTGATGATCCATCCCTTTGTTGTGTTTGTAATTTGTGCAGGTGATGATCCATCCCTTTGTTGTGTATGTACCATGTGCAGGTGATGATCCATCCCTTTTGTGTGTGTACCATGTGCAGGTGATGATCCATCCCTTTGTTGTGTGTACCATGTGCAGGTGATGATCCATCCCTTTGTTGTGTGTGTACCATGTGCAGGTGATGATCCATCCCTTTGTTGTGTGTGTACCATGTGCAGGTGATGATCCATCCCTTTGTTGTGTGTGTACCATGTGCAGGTGATGATCCATCCCTTTGTTGTGTGTGTACCATGTGCAGGTGATGATCCATCCCTTTGTTGTGTGTGTACCATATGCAAGTGATGATCCATCCCGTTGTTGTGTTTGTACCATGTGCAGGTGATGATCCATCCCTTTGTTGTGTGTGTACCATATGCAGGTGATGATCCATCAGCGTGAGTCAGAGGAGCTGCACAGTGTGGTGGAGGAGCTCGAGAAATACAACCTCAACGTGATGAGTCAGCTGTTTGAGTGTACTGTAGATGATCTCAAAATATCCAGGTCAGTCTCTGTGGTGAAAGAAAGTTTTGAGATTATTAAAACAAGTGATGGCAATGAGTTTCAGGATGCAGCTGATATCTTTGCAGAGCATTATGATTTTAATAGTCATCACTATGACAATTGTGTTACCATTTGGGGTGATGTATTACCCTCTTGCACTGCATTTATTTAACGAGATATATGCTGCCATTGTCATTAATAGGGCCACCCGCCCATACACAAATTCAGTTAGGGGACCGTTCATAATTTTAGCACTAGGGAGGATAGTAATGGAGAAGCATGTAAAAACAAAACAGGTGACCAACACTTCCCCCCCTAAAATCCTCACCCAGTCTAAAATCATCCTCACTTATATAATGAAAACTATCCTTTTAGTGACAGTCTTTGTAATTAACCATAAGCATTTTAAAGGTCACATGCAACGTAAAACACAACTTTGCAGATTCTGATACCTTTCGGTATGGACTTACAGTAACAAATTGTCAAAATGCAAATTCAACTCATAAAGTTGCAAAATAATGCGATGAAAAAACCCCCGCGAAATCGAAGTTCAACGATTCACTAATTTCACCCCAGCTGGGGTGAAAAGTGGTTTCAACAGCTGTGCTGTGCTGCGCTGCACTGCGCTCATGGCGCATGCGTGGTGAATAGGTTTACGCAGCTTGGAAGCGGCATTTCAAGATGGAAAACCTTCGCAGAATACTCGGAGTAGGCTTTGATGTCAGCTATTTTTCTAATGTTTTGTAGGGCGGTGGGGTAGCCTAGTGGTTAAAGCGTTGGCTCGTCACGCCGAAGACCCGGGTTCGATTCCCCACATGGGCACAATGTGTTAAGCCCATTTCTGGTGTCCCCCGCCGTGATATTGCTGGAATATTGCTAAAAGCGGCGTAAAACTAAACTCAGTCAGTCAGTCAGTCTAATGTTTTGTTGATATTTCACAGTCGCGAGCTTTTTATATGTTATGACAGGAGATTACCGATTTAACTGTTTATATAATTTCATTTGACTATTTCACCACACGTTCTCTTTACCGAGTCACTTTCTCAGTTTGATACTTATTCAGTTGCTCTACTACGGGACAACTTCTTGACCAGGGTTACCGTTCATCGTAGCACTAGATACATTGGGTAGGCCACGTGGTTGGCGCTAAATATATTGGGTAGGCTCTGATTGGCGGAGACGTCCGTCATCAGTAGATGAACTTTGACCCATGTCAGAGGTTGTTCTAGAGCGCTATATAAGTGACCTGGCTCTCTGGATTCAGTGTCTAGCTTTCGGTCTTCCGAGCAACATCAGGTAAAGTCTCTGTCTCGAGGTCCTGTTTCAGGATCATTCCCTCCCCGTTTACAGAGTGGAATGTTCGGTCTTAAGTAGGGGGATGTTAGGTTCCTTTTATAAGTGTTAGGTCAGGTTGGGGGGAAAAGTAGGAGTAGGAAACGGAATAGGAATTGGGCTATAGACTTTGGATAATGTTCAGTTAGAACAGGTTTGGTTTGAGTGGTTTTTCAGAAGTGTACAGGTTTTCATGTAGCTGGATCGTTAATCAGCTATGTGAGTGAGAGAAATGTGTCATTTATAAGCTGTTAAGTTTTTGTTTGTATTTTTCTACCTGATTTTTTGTAATAAACTATTGTTATTGTTCTTTTTGTCTCTGTTATTTCCCAATAGGCTTTATGCCCGATTCACGAACTGGTCACTGAGTTTTGAGTAGAGAACAAGTCAACCTGAACACACACCTATAAAAAAAAGATACACAACACAAAGTCCAAACAAGGTTGATTCAACATCATGTTCCAACGTGACTTAGCTTAACTCAGCTATCACTGGGCGATGGTAGTCTACTGAGAACCATGCCTGTTACACTTATAATTTTATTTATTTGATTTTTCATGATCAGCATTATATGTCATGAATAAGTGATAATTGTGTTTTAATTATGTTTCTTTTTTGTGTTGCATGTGACCTTTAAGTGACCTGTCAGCACCAGGTTAAAATGTTAGCTTTCTTTAATCAAGGACCTTGAAAACCTTCACAAGCAATACAGTTTTACCTGTTACTTCTTGCACCCAGAAACTTCTTCCTGACCCAGTTCGCTGACAGCGAGAACCTGGATGAAACTGGAATCCTGGAAATGGATCTTGCCAGTCTCAACTTCCCAGAGGATGAGGACAAGGTAGAGAAGAACATCAGTCTAAGTGAAAAAGGTAAAACAGTGGGAGATGTTACATGATGTAGTGGGAGATGTTACATGATGTAGTAGGAGATGTTACATGATGCAGTGGGAGATGTTACATGATGTAGTGAGAGATGTTACATGATGTAGTGAGAGATGTTACATGATGTAGTGAGAGATGTTACATGATGTAGTGGGAGATGTTACATGATGTAGTGGGAGATGTTACATGATGTAGTACATGATGATGTTACATGATGTAGTGAGAGATGTTACATGATGTAGTGAGAGATGTTACATGATGTAGTGAGAGATGTTACATGATGTAGTGGGAGATGTTACATGATGTAGTGAGAGATGTTACATGATGTAGTGAGAGATGTTACATGATGTAGTGAGAGATGTTACATGATGTAGTGAGAGATGTTACATGATGTAGTGAGAGATGTTACATGATGTAGTGAGAGATGTTACATGATGTAGTGAGAGATGTTACATGATGTAGTGAGATGTTACATGATGTAGTGAGAGATGTTACATGATGTAGTGAGAGATGTTACATGATGTAGTGAGAGATGTTACATGATGTAGTGAGAGATGTTACATGATGTAGTGAGAGATGTTACATGATGTAATGAGAGAAGAGAGGTGTCTTAGTGGGAGAGGTTACATGATGTAATGAGAGAAGGGAAGTGTCTTAGTGGGAGAGTTTACATGATGTAGTGAGAGAGGGGAAGTGTCTTAGTGGGAGATGTTACATGATGTAGTGAGAGAGGGGAAGTGTCTTAGTGGGAGATGATACATGATGTAGTGAGAGAGGGGAGGTGTCTTAGTGGGAGATGATACATGATGTAGTGAGAGAGGGGAAGTGTCTTAGTGGGAGATGATACATGATGTAATGAGAGAAGAGAGGTGTCTTAGTGAGAGAGGGGAAGTGTCTTAGTGGGAGAGGTTACATGATGTAATGAGAGAAGTGAAGTGTCTTAGTGGGAGATGATACATGATGTAATGAGTGAAGTGAAGTGTCTTAGTGGGAGAGGTTACATGATGTAATGAGAGAAGTGAAGTGTCTTAGTGGGAGAGGTTACATGATGTAGTGGGAGATGTTACATGATGTAGTGAGAGAAGAGAGGTGTCTTAGTGAGAGAGGGGAAGTGTCTTAGTGGGAGAGGTTACATGATGTAGTGAGAGAGGGGAAGTGTCTTAGTGGGAGAGGTTACATGATGTAATGAGAGAAGTGAAGTGTCTTAGTGGGAGAGGTTACATGATGTAGTGGGAGATGTTACATGATGTAGTGAGAGAAGAGAGGTGTCTTAGTGAGAGAGGGGAAGTGTCTTAGTGGGAGAGGTTACATGATGTAGTGAGAGAGGGGAAGTGTCTTAGTGGGAGAGGTTACATGATGTAATGAGAGAAGAGAGGTGTCTTAGTGGGAGAGGTTACATGATGTAATGAGAGAAGAGAGGTGTCTTAGTGGGAGAGGTTACATGATGTAGTGAGAGAGGGAGGTGTCTTAGTGGGAGAGGTTACATGATGAGGAGAGTGTCTTAGTGAGAGATGTAGTGGAAGTGTCTTAGTGGGAGAGGTTACATGATGTAGAAGAGGGTGAGAGAAGGGAAGTGTCTTAGTGGGAGGATGTTACATGATGTAGTGGGAGAGGTTACAGATGTAGTGAGAGTGTCTTAGTGGGAGATGTTACATGATGTAATGAGAGAAGGGGAGAGGTCTTAGTGGGAGAGATTTACATGATGTAGTGAGAGAGGGTGGGAGAGGGTGATCTTAGTGGGAGATGTTACATGATGTAGATGAGAGAGAGGGAAGTGTCTTAGTGGGAGATGATGATACATGATGTAGTGAGAGAGGGAGGTCTCTTAGTGAGAGATGATACATGATGTAGTGAGAGAGGGAAGTGTCTTAGTGGGAGATGATACATGATGTAATGAGAGAGGAGGGAGTGTCTTAGTGGGAGATGAGACATGATGTAGTGAGAGGGGGAGTGTCTTAGTGGGAGAGGTTACATGATGTAGTGAGAGAGGGGAAGTGTCTTAGTGGGAGAGGCTACATGATGTAATGAGAGAGGGGAAGTGTCTTAGTGGGAGAGGTTACATGATGTAGTGGGAGATGTTACATGATGTAGTGAGAGATGTTACATGATGTAGTGAGAGATGTTACATGATGTAGTGAGAGAAGGGAAGTGTCTGGTACAGTGTCTTGGCTGTGTTTGCTTTAGATATAACCTTGTACTGTGGATGCAGTTTTGTATGTATAAACTTGTTCTTGTTACTATATGGCTGAACCAATGCTGATGTTACCTCACTGTAGCATGTGAGAGAGTTAGTTACTTATACTGTAGATAATATAGCTATAATAGGCTGATACGTTAGACATTCACTTACTCCTCTGTCTATCTGTTACAGCAAGACCCATGAGTGCCACCCAGAGAGCTGTCGAGCAGAAGGTGTTCAGCCTGGCCACATCCGCTTTGGATGAGGTGGATACAGACATTGAGGAGGATGAGGAGGATTCAGCTGGTGGGTACACACACCTCGATGGACGTTCATGGTCGGAAAAGCTCTTAGTTGTATCACATGACTTGATGAGATATTGCTGAATTCCATAACATGATGAGAAAACATATCATGAGAATACTATTAAACCATAGTAAGGGACAAACTGTTCTCAATGTAGCAAAGTTTTCTTCATGTTGGTGGTATTTTGATAGTACCTGGCAGATTAGGTGTATCCTCCTACCCTTGAGGTGTCATTTGATGCTCACTCTGCCCGAAACACAGTGTATTAAAGAGTTACAAGTGTGGTGGATGATGCATGTATAGAGTTGCTCACCACATACAAGTAGACATACCCAGAGCAGGTCCCGGTTGTAGTTTTGAATCATATCCTGTAAAGTTGATTCAGGTACAGGGCACTTTTTGTGATATATTACTGAGATGCTGTTGACGTACTGCTGAAAAGAAACTGCTGGTATAATTTGAAGACTGTTGCTGAGATGTTGCTGTCATGCTGCTGACATGGTAAAAGGCTAACACTGCACACTATCACCGGTATACTGGTATACAGCAGTAGGCTTTTCAAACAATACATACTGCAATATTATTTCGGAGAACCAGTATGTTAAGTGAAAAACTATATGAGGTTTTGTGATTATTCATAGGGTTTTAAGTTAAAATCTTCCTTAACAACAGATGTTTCCCTTCCTAATTTATTAACTAAACGGCATAATTTACCTGGTATAAATTGCATAGATAGGAAAATAGAATCCTGAACTATCCAACCTAATTTTGAGATTGCAGTTATCAGAACTGTAACATTTATTTTTAAGGAGTTAGTATGTTGATAATAGGCTCTGCATGTACAATTAGTGTCACTCACTGTCATTCACTTTGCTCCCACTATATCGCAATATGTATCGCAGTTCAAGCACCTGAATGACGACGCTTTCTATTGCAATACCATATATTTGCCAATACACAGCCCTACAAAAGGCTGAAATTATTTCACTCCGATAGATATGTGATCACTTTGTTGCTTGTTTGCAGTAAATATCTTCTTCTGACTGTTTCAGATGGTGCTTCTACACATACAAGCCAAGGCAGTGAGCAGTTTGAAAACCTCTTCTATGAAGAGGAAGATTTTACTGTAAGTTCCTCCATGGTGGTATACTCACAGGCAGAAGTGACTTGGGTAAAGGAAACCTAAATTGATAATTGAGAACTGGATTTCAAAGCCTCACTTTTAGCAATCAGCTGTCTTTAGGAAACCCAGGGAGGTATTCTTCAGCCATCTAAACACTAGTAGAATTCAAATCTTCAAGTTGAGTTGTGTACTTGTTCTGTATGAGAACAGAATAAGAACATGATCACAGGTCCATTTTGAGGTATAGCTGACCTTGACAAATAGAGTGCTGCAGTTTGCAGTGCAGAGTTCCCTCCCTTAGGCATGCACGACATCATGGCTTCCAATCCCAGATTTGTTTTGATTATGATTGGTGAGGTTTCAGAATCATACTCATACTACTGGGTCCTAAACCTGGAATTTGGGCTTTCCTCCCAGATGAAGTTGATATGCTGTCATATAACTGAAAGATTGTTCAAGTGCAGTTAAACCAAACTAATCACATTTACATGTGCCAGTTGGTATAATTGTCTCCAATTTGTTATCTGTGATACCAGTAGGCAAGCTACCGTAACCCCCTTCATGTCTGTTCAGTCTCACTCCTCCTGGGATACTGGGGTAGTCCAGTGGTCAAACCACTTGCTTACGAGGCTGATGGTCCAGGTTCATTTCCTCATTTTCCAGTTGGGTACAATATGTGAAGCCCACTTCTAGTATCTCCTGCCATATTGCAGGGATATTGCTAAAGCATCATGAAACCCACTGTCTGTTCCTTCACCCTGCAGGACTATCTACAGCTCGGCCCACTGGAACTGAAGCTGCTAAACATCACTGGCACCCAGATGCCCATCCACAAGCCATACCAGCCCACAGACGAGGAGCTGCAGGCACTTAAGTGTAATCCTGAGGAGTGGCCTGTCACACAGCCCATGCTCAAAGGTGCCATCACTCACACAGCATAGCCCTGGGGGTGGGGCAGGCTGGGTGGGGCAGGGAGAGGACCATGGGTGGGTTGTTGAATGACGTCCTAGGGTAAAAGACAGGGTATTGCATCTGTCGTAATGAGATCAACTTGACAAATATTTTATCTCAAGTCACATATCTTCTTACAATGGTCTTACAGAAAGTACTTTCTGAAGAAAAAAATATAATATCTCAGCCCACGACCCAACTATTATTCAGCTACGAAAAACTTAATACTCACCTTAAAGCTACAATTGAATTAAGTGATGAATTTGATAACTATAAAAATCAAATGACATATGACCTTGACTTGGTCTCAGTAGAACTGTGTGTGTGGCCTGACATTGTGAATCAAACTTGACCAATTATCAGTAATAAGGATGTGTTGCCAGTTATGTTTGTGTACTTATTTACAGATGTATGTTTACACAATGATGTCCTTTCTGCTCTTCAATATGTATTCTTTACTTTCATTACTCAGACCTAATTTACACCTTTGATTGTAACTTGCCAGTACATGTTTTTCATATTTTGCATATAAATTATTTATATACTAGGATAATGATATGTCTTCCCAAATTGTTGTTTGTTTAAAATATTATTATACCCTCCAGGTGTCATGTTCCGATGGACTACCAGTGTGACACAAGTAACCGATGGATACCCTCCAGGTGTCACCAGGACTTACCAGTGACACAAGTAACTTGTCTGTGTCACCCTCCAGGTGTGGATTTACAGACACAAGCTCTGTGTCAATATTTAGTGAAAAGAACAAGTTTTTACAGAAATACAAAAAGAAAGAAATATCATGATCTCACTAGTCATACTTTGATTTCTGAGGGGGAGCAACTCAAGTTTCTCTGTGTCTTAAAAGATTTGAATTGAAAGATTTAAATTGTTTGATGGTTTAATCAAACAGGACATTGGATTCCATAGGCTTTAGATATATTCATAAAATTGTTAAATGAACATTTATATGATTTCGAAACATTAAATTCAAGTTCCTCCCCATTGCTTTTGGGGTTTTGTATTTTTTTACCCACAGGTGATATGTGTAGTTAATTTCATTTTAACTGAACAAATGTTTAAAATGTATCTTTCTGTTTTACCACAGCACGTGTATGCATTAAAACTTGTAGCTATATTGTCTGTAAAGCTGGGACACTGATCAATAACTATATCCTATGTAGTCTATGTAATAATTATGATGACCTTATAGTTGTCAATGTATAAGATATGTTTGACTTGGGAGTGTGTACTCAACATGATGAAAATATTCCATTCAGGTGATAACAAAATATTATGAAACAAAATCCTACTCTGGCAATAAAACATCTGCTGAGTAAAGTATTTACATGATTAGAATACACATAATCTTTGACTTTGGAAACAATCAGTGTGTTTTCTTTTTCTTTGGAATATGGGTAGAGTAGAGAAGAAATTATAAGAACTTAAGCATGTGAAGGTTGACTACAGACCTGCATGCATGGGTTCCTGACAGTCACATGAAGCCAGTCAGAATCCAATCACTGTGTACTGTTTACTGTTATGTTGTATTATTGGGTATCATCATCCAAAGCCAAAATAACTTCTATATCAGAACATGAGTCTGTTAATGAAAACTCACTGGTTTGAAGGAGAGGTGATATTTTATGAACTGTTGCATAAATGTGATGAAATATGTTAAATGGATTGTTTGTTTTCACTTTTTATCATGAAGAGTTTAGTCAATCTAAACTGAACCACACCCACAGTAATACTAACACAGGGATATGATTTAAACATGCAATATCTACCTGGGGAATGGATGAAAGTATATTCCATCCTCTGATGTGAGGATGCAAGGCAATGGGAGCAGAGATGCTTGAAGCACATGGAGGTATGGCCTCCACTGCTGGAGGGATACATTACAAGTAGTCAGGTGTTCCGATTAATTGAAATAATCGAAGATTGGTCGCAGTGACTAAACGACCAAGCAATCGATCACATTTACTCATAATCGAACACAAACGATTTTGGAACTGCTGTTTTTAGTCTTTGAAACATTTGATGATGGAACATATCTTCGAAGTTGTCAGGGCCTGAAAACTTGTGTAATCCTTGGAAAACTCACTTCAATAACTGAAAAGTCATGACTGAATATTTCTTGAAGGCTCCTGGAAGGTTATGTTCATGATATATTAGTCATCACTTTAAAGTAGCAAGTTGCATCATGTTATACATATCTGCAATAACAACCTTGATAGGAAAATCTGAAAAATGACGCTAACCAATTTTTTTCCATGATTGTTCGTTGGTAATGAAGCAATCATCAATTGTGAGATTTCAGCCAATTCCTAACACTAATTACAAGTGATTCAAATAATGCTTTCAAAATGGTGTGTTAACCTCCAACAACCCACCACTTGGTTACATTACCAGATCTTCTGCCCCTATGAAGTGGATACTTTACAGGTAGTTACAGATGCAATGGAGAACATGTTTAGTGAATCACAGACAGAAGTGAATTGTTTATTTGTTGTTATATAACACCTCGTGCTGTGATAATCCTGCTAAATGATAAAGTTTTTTTAACTAATCCAGTCTGGGCAAGACAATCCATTGATTGACATGAGCGTCGATCATCGCAGTTTGGAGACAATGTAGTGGATCAATCAAATCAACCAAGTCATACAAGTCAGAGAGTCTGACCACCTAATCCTCTTTCGACAAGCATATGTTACTGAAGACCAATTCTAACCCAGATCTTCCCGGATCTCACACATTTAGTGTAGGTTCGGATGTACATGACAGATCACACATTTAGGGAAAGGTTGGATGTAAATATGACATATCACACATTTAGTTCAGATGTGCATATGACACATCACACATTTAGTGAAGGTTGGATGTACATATGACATATCACACATTTAGTTCAGATGTACATATCACACATCACACATTTAGGGTAGGTTGGATGTACATATGACAAATCACACATTTAGTTCAGATGTACATATGACACATCACACATTTAGTTCAGATGTACATATGACAGATCACACATTTAGTTCAGATGTACATATGACAGATCACACATTCATTGTGGGTTGGATGTACATATGACACATCACACATTCATTGCAGGTTAGATGTACATATGACACATCACACATTTAGTGTAGGTTGGATGTACATATGACACATCACACATTCATTGCAGGTTGGATGTAAATATGACACATCACACATTCATTGTAGGTTGGATGTAAATATGACATCACACATTTAGTGTAGGTTGGATGTAAATATGACATCACACATTTAGTGTAGGTTGGATGTACATATGACATCACACATTTAGTGTAGGTTGGATGTAAATATGACATCACACATTTTGTGTAGGTTGGATGTCAATATGACATCACACATTTAGTGTAGGTTGGATGTAAATATGACATCACACATTCATTGTAGGTTGGATGTAAATATGACATCACACAATTAGGGTAGGGTGGATGTACATATGACAGATCATACATTTAGTGTAGGTTGGATGTACATATGACATCACACATTCATTGTAGGTTAGATGTAAATATGACATCACCCATTCATTGCAGGTTGGATGTACATATAACATCACACATTCATTGTAGGTTGGATGTAAATATGACATCACCCATTCATTTTAGGTTGGATGTTAATATAACATCACACATTCATTGTAGGTTGGATGTAAATATGACATCACACATTCATTGCAGGTTGGATGTACATATGACATCACACATTCATTGTAGGTTGGATGTAAATATGACATCACACATTCATTTTAGGTTGGATGTTAATATAACATCACACATTCATTGTAGGTTGGATGTACATATGACATCACACATTTAGTGTAGGTCGGATCTACATGTGGAAAATCACACATTTGAGAGTGTAGATACAATGTGCCTTTCACAGATCTATGTTTTCTTTATTTTACAGGTGTTCTTCCGTATCATACCGTTCAAGAACGATTATGTTGTTAAGTGAACCAGAGTTCTTCACAAAATAGCGCTGAACTTTCCAGTCAAATGCTTTTTATTCGGCATGTGGATCTGATCGATAGCTGTTTAACAAGGTTGAATATAAACGGCCTTTAACATGACATTTCACATAATGCACTTTTTCATCTGGTTCATATGTGCTTGAATGGCGTTTCTTTATTACGTTTAGTAATCTCAAACCTCTTCGCTTGGATTCTCTTCTCAAGGTAAAATCATACCAAGGTGTTACTATTTTGGTTGGAATGCCTATTTCAACATATATATTCAGGTATTTATAGAACGGATTACATGCCTCATCAACACTTGAACTTTGACTATTTAATTCATTTCGGTTAGTGTTTTCAAAAAGTTAATTAGGCTTATCATAGTCACCGATGAACGTTTCGATTTTATATGCTATGTTGGTCCGCAAATTAGTGTCCATTTCGATTGATGTTTCCCTCTGGTCACTAATTGTCCAGATCAATCACACCACTGTTGATGACGTTGGTATCTTCATTGATAATAGGATTAACTAAACTACTGGTATGGTCGGTAATTCTGGGCAGCACGGTGAGATATTCATTATGTAGATGTTTCCTACTTAGTAATTCATTCACGATGTCACACATATAAGTAACATATTAGTAACATTTAGTGTAGGTTGAGTGTACGTGCCCTTTAATAATTTCCCCAGAAAATTGTGTTTCCCCCAAACAGTCATGATACATAATGGAGATTCATAAAACTTAGCTAATTGCAGATAAGGTATAGTAAATATAATGTAACAATGTTTGGAAAAGAAGAACAGGCGGTCTTTTAGGTGTTACGTTTTCTTGTCCTTAACCCTCTTTTGAGATACATTTGGACCACTAACTCCACCCGATACAGTACGTATGAGTGAGTTTGGTTTTACGCCGCTTTTAGCAATATTTAACACCAGAAACCAGAAATGGGCTTCACACATGGGGGAATCGAACCCAGTTCTTCGGCGTGACGAGCGACCGCTTTAACCACAGGGAACCCACCACCCCGAGCTTGGTTAAACTAACTGCAGTCGTTTACATCCCATACTGTGCATACAGCATTGCAGCAGCCAATGATTATATAGACAATAGCTAAGTTTTATACACCTCGGTAAGATATCTACATAACACCTTAACGCATATATTTCATGGCTATATCTACTTTTGAAATCCTACTTTAGTCGGAGTCTGATAGACCTATATTTCACATGTCCCCGCACATATGAAACTCACAGAAAATTTCCTCCATAATATCCCCACGTAGCCTCGCTGTCAGCCCTTATCGATATATCAGTAACCGTGGAGAATAGTTCCTAATGGCAAATGTGTAACCAGGTAGCTTCTATCACGTGACTCATACAGAATCGACCTAGCATAACCATCTATTTGGTCGCACCTTGCAACCAACAGAGGTTGTCACACGAAATCCCCACGGATAGAAAACGTTAGTATATTCATCATCGGTTTTGTTTTCATAGCCGAGGGTCTTAACGGGATTTCGGTGCAGTGTTCAGATATGCAGACACTGCATCTACAGGATATGTACATGTAGAAAAGAGCAATAAGAACAGTTATATACATGTGAGAGTGAATATGGTTTTACGTTGTTTTAGCAATAATGCAGCACGGGACATCAGAAAGGACAATTGTTGACTGCGGCGCAAAACAATGTACCATCAAGATTACAGAATCTGATTGAACATCGATATGCCGCGATTGTCTTTTACTCGGTAGCAAGACATCCATAACAAATTTCAACGTAAAACGTTGCACCGATAAGCGTAAGAAAATGGAATAAAATACCGTTTTTATTTAGAAATACCATTAATTTGTTGTATTCCTTCTTACCTCGAACACACTTTGCTTGATGAGACATGCGGACATCCACATACACATACTGGTTACCTTGACTCCCTTTGAACGTGATGTCACTTTTACCTTTTATTGTCTGGGTGTTTTTCAATTTATCCTCACAGCATGAGTAGTTTGATAAAAATCTTTAGAAACTGGGTAATGGCAAAGTATCAATTTTATATGTTACAACTTCTTTAATATCAAGCTGGATAAAAGTATACCTATGATCTTTACCCAAACGTCATCATACAGATATTGAAAAGTTGTAATCTTTATAACTGCTACAGGAATCTCCAGAATACCTAACCTTTCTTACTTAGATCTATACAAGCTTTGTTCTTCTATCTTTCAATCTTCGTAATAATCACTGACCCTTCTCAGCAGACGCCCGGTATTTGTCTTTAATTCCCCCATATGTCATGTACTGCTATGTACACTTAGGGTTAATCATTTCCAGATGTGAGTATTGACTGAATCTCATTTGGTTCCGACTAAGAAACAGTAATAACTGTCCGACAATGTTGACCTTTACGTGATGAAAAAAGCCACATACATTGAATCAACTTTTCTAATACTAGATATAACTTGGATTTCTAATACTAGATAGAACTTGGATTTCTAATACTAGATAGAACTTGGATTTCTAATACTAGATATAACTTGGATTTCTAATACTAGATAGAACTTGGATTTCTAATACTAGATAGAACTTGGATTTCTAATACTAGATAGAACTTGGATTTCTAATACTAGATAGAACTTGGATTTCTAATACTAGATAGAACTTGGATTTCTAATACTAGATAGAACTTGGATTTCTAATACTAGATAGAACTTGGATTTCTAATACTAGATAGAACTTGGATTTCCAAAAGTATGTGAAATAAACTAATTATTGAACCGTTTTCACATTGTTCTGTTCAAAAACAGTCGTATTTACATTCTTCACAAAAGATTCCCGCTCAATTTTGCCTGAAGCAATGGCCGACCATCTCTGAGAACATATATTTACTAACTAGCACTTTTCTTATAAAGAACGGGGAGACTCATCACCGCGTGTGGGCGAGGTTGCGGCTTGCGTGGGTTGTCGGTGACTACTAGTACTCATTATACCTGCCACACACAGGTGACAATTGTCGGCGAGTTCAGACGACACCAGACAGCACAGCCCTGTCGAAGAGCCTCAAGCCAGACAGCCAGCAACCTAGCTTCAGAACTCGACGCACATCCTGTGTCAATTGTTACCGGGTGCGGAGATTAGACTTCTTGTGCGGCTTCACCCATCGTCCCCATGATGGAAATCCAGCTATAAAATGCGCCAATTCTGTCACTCGTCCCTATTCTAAGACGCCCTAGGTGGACATCTATCTTCATGAAGTGTTGGGACACAGACATACTGCATAAGGTGAGTAAAACAGTTTCCCAAAACAAAATTATATTCTCTGATGTTTACTTTTATTCAACGTTTTCTGTCAATCTTTATAGGCGACAGTATTTGTTATGGCTGTGGGTATAATTTGCACAACACACATATAACATTTTCAATTAATAATACATTTCCTATACAAACAGAATCAAAGACAGAGCAAGGTTTTTACAAGGTAAATATTCAATCTTTGTATCACTTTAATAATTTGTGTGCTAAACATATTCCATGAAAACTCAACTTTCTAACATTCTATTAAAACCGATAGGTATAAAAACTTAAGTTTTCAAAATTCTAGGAATAAGTATATATATGTATTAAACACGTGCTTTTAAAGTTAGCTGCTTATTAGGTTGGTGTTTGTTCTATACAACATATTTAATTAATATGTATTTCACAATTCATCTTCCCATTTCATAAATACATGGATATAATCAACTGTCAACACAGGGATGCTGAAATAATAGTCACTGTTGTGATGGCGGATTTATGCATTTCTTCACACAATTCTCTCTCTCTCTCTCTCTCTCTCTCTCTCTCTCTCTCTCTCTCTCTCTCTCTCTCTCTCTCTCTCTCTCTCTATATATATATATATATATATATATATACATGTATATATTTGTGTGTGTGTACCTTTATACTGATGTCTGTGTGTACGTACATACTAACATTCATCATTTCAAGAATGTCAGGAAACTGAAAAAAAGTAAGTTTGCTGTTAAATCCCTTCACATTGTGAAAGGTATGGCTAGTTTTGGTTATTTCAAAGTGAATTTTGATCAGATGTCTATTACTATATGTATCAATAACCGATGATGATGATGATGATGATGATGATGATGATGATGATGATTTGGAGATTTCACGTGCGCTCTGCGACATAATGCCCGCCAGACATTTAGTGTTTGACCGAAAGATCTGGCAACCAGATGTGGGCGTTTATGTTGCATAAATAAATTTGTATGACTTTTGAATTTGGAAAGCAAACGACGTATGTTCCATAACTTCTGTCAATTCTAATAGACAAAGTGACCAATGAAAGAATATTTGACAGGTCAGCAAAAGTGGAAATAGCATGCAGAAGGCGATAGAAGCGGCAGTTCCTACTATCTATGTCCAGAGCTTAATTAGTCGCGGCCGTGATTTGACATGCCTCATTATCGACAAGTGCCAGAGAGCTGTTGGCACTGAGCTGGTGATAACAAGCGACCACTCTAGTACCTGTGTGCAGAGCTCCATTGTCAAGCCAGTCTTATCTCCGCCATGTGCCTGTCGTAGTAAATCTATGCGCATGTAATTAATGAGAGAAAATTGACGCGCTCTTATATGTAGTATTTAACGCATATCCGGAATAAGCCGGAAATTATTTCAAGAACTCATGTTTAGGACACGGAAATGTATTGTAATACCTGGAAGTTTAATAAGCCCTATTTCTATTCTCTTATGGCAAATTGAAAACATTTTCAAGTGTTGTTCAGTCGTTAAAGTCTAATATGAACTTCTCACATGGGTACAGTGGGTGAAGCCCATTTCCGATGTCCCCTGCTACGATACTGCTAGAATATTGCTAAAAGCTGAGTTAAACCATACTTACTCACTCACTCACTCACTCACTCACTCACTCACTCACTCACTCACTCACTCACTCACTCACTTAAAGTATTATAAGTCTATATGAAGTACGTCTGATTTTACTGCACAGTATCAGTCAAAATAGCCTTGCCCTGTCCACTGTTCACAACCGTGAACTGATGGTGGTAATCAACCCCATTACAACAATTCAGAATTAACTTAAGTCTGTTTATAATAATTATCAGGTAAGTTCAACTTTTATAGTTAAAGTTAACCGTTTGAATTACAGAGTTCATGTTTTTAACACTAGTGAACCTGAAACGATTGGTTTCTTCATTACCTCTGTAAAGTCTGAATAACTAGAAGACATCGATTTACAGCACCATGAAATGGATGATGCTAAGCTGTAATGGCAGACGAAGGTACATGTTTGTTTTAACGCCCGAGAACAACAGATGTGCGTGGGATATCACATAGACATGTATGTAGCCCAGGTACTTTTCTGTCTACAGAAATGAACATTTGCCAAAAACGGAATTCATAACTGAACAGTTGGAGCTAGGTCAAGTCTGTTGCACAAACAATGTCGCTATACGGCCGAAATAATACCGATGCTACATACAATTTTAACTCACTATTACACAATTAAAGAATACTAGTAGTAGTAGCAGTACTAGAAGGTAGTGGCAGTAGGAGTTAGTTGTAGTATCAGTAGTACTAGCAGCAATGTTCGCGTTAACTCAAAAACCTGCGTGTTTCATTTCACTCACCATATTTTCTATCTGTGTGTTCTGCACGCAAAGCATTTTGTGTTCTGGGAACAAGTAACCGAAAAACATATTTTGCCCAAAGGAACAACAAGATAAAACATAATTTCTCTCAACTAATTTGACTTGCGAATAATGCTCTAAAATGCACGGAAATGGTGTCTAAATTTCAAAATTTTACAGTGGGACCCCGCAGCCCCCGAGAGACATCGCCGCTGTCTGGCTCGGGCATACACCTGCTGTGCATGCACACGCAAGATTCTTGGAGCTATATGCGCTTTAGGAACGCAATGTTGTTTCCTTCCGCGAACACTGTAGCAGTACCAGTATCGGTGGTATTATACACTGTAGCAGTACCAGTATTGGTGGTATTATACCACTAGTGTAATGTAGTAGGAGTAGTAGCAGCGGCAGTAGTAACAAGAGCAGCCGTTGTCGTGATCGTGATACAAGTAGTAGTAGTAGTAGTAGTAGTAGTAGTTGTTGTTGTTGTTGTAGCTGAGGAGGAGGAGGGGGAGGTTGTGACACGTAATGAAACCCCTTTGATGATAAATGCAAGAACTGTGGGGGTTAGCGTGTGTATGTACCACGCTGAGCAGGATTAGCATGTCGGTCATTGACACTGGTAGCGTGCTGGGTGTACACTGATGGCGGCCAGTAGTAGTAGTGTGTGGAGAATTGACGTTACCCAGCACACGTTGCTGAACACGCCGTAAATATACCTTCCTCGTGTTTCCCTTGTGCCATGAACAGATCATCTAAACAAAATATTATACATCGTTTTACCCGACGGTATCCCAACAGTCCTTCCCGAATCACATGTTATGGTGCAACCTCACAATTGGACAGAATCTATATGACGTCCACACATAGACTCGCCCCCATTTGCCAGCTGGGCCTCCTTTCACAAAGCACTAAGGTGACCATAAGTCACTAAGGTAACCTTAGTGCAATGTTAAATGAGAGTTAAGGTTAACCTTAGTAAAGGTTGCTTCGTGAAAGAGCCCCTGGTCAATAATGAATTAATAATAAATTTGAATAAGGCCACATATACTGCTTTGAACGCCATGCAGCACGGGCATGCTCTGAGCGCATGTAACATTATCCAGTGATTCCAAATCGACCTATAGCTTGTCCAGTTTGGGCCAGACAAACCTGTGGTTGATATCATGACCACAGGCCCACGTCGTCGTCGGTGTACGACGGCACGGAATCAACGACACACTGCCCGACCCATTGTAACCGCATACGTCACAAAGGGCCAGTTCTATGCCGCAATACGTGGCGGAGATGTGTTCATGGAGTCAATGTGCCCAGAGACGTGACAGTTAGATGTATTATAGAAGTACAACTGGAAAATCCATCAGCTTATAGAATACGTATACACTGGCTCCTGTTTCTATTTGCCATTTCATTTATAAATCACTATAAGCTCGTGTCCAAAAGGGGTGGTGGGGTAGCCTAGTGTTTAAAGCGTTCGGTCGTTCGGAACACCCGAGTTCGATGCCCCAGGTGGGTACAATGTGTGAAGCCCATTTCTGGTGTCCCCCGGAGTGATCTTGCTGGAAAACTGCTAAAAGCGGCGTAAAACCATACCCACTCACTCGTGTCCAGAAGAGACTGTATATCAACCCAAGACATTGCATCGTGCCTACTGGGACACTGTGTATACATAGCCGTTGCATCGTGCCTACTGGGACACTGTGTATACATAGACGTTGCATCGTGCCTACTGGGACACTGTGTATACATAGACGTTGCATCGTGCCTACTGGGACACTGTGTATACATAGACGTTGCATCGTGCCTACTGGGACACTGTGTATACATAGACGTTGCATCGTGCCTACTGGGACACTGTGTATACATAGACGTTGCATCGTGCCTACTGGGACACTGTGTATACATAGACGTTGCATCGTGCCTACTGGGACACTGTGTATACATAGACGTTGCATCGTGCCTACTGGGACACTGTGTATACATAGACGTTGCATCGTGCCTACTGGGACACTGTGTCACTCACTCACTCACTCACTCACTCACTCACTCACTCACTCACTCACTCACTCACTCACTCACTCACTCACTCACTCACTCACTCACTCACTCACTCACTCACTCACTCACTCACTCACTCACTCACTCACTCACTCACTCACTCACTCACTCACTCACTCACTCACTCACTCACTCACTCACTCACTCACTCACTCACTCACTCACTCACTCACTCACTCACTCACTCACTCACTCACTCACTCACTCACTCACTCACTCACTCACTCACTCACTCACTCACTCACTCACTCACTCACTCACTCACTCACTCACTCACTCACTCACTCACTCACTCACTCACTCACTCACTCACTCACTCACTCACTCACTCACTCACTCACTCACTCACTCACTCACTCACTCACTCACTCACTCACTCACTCACTCACTCACTCACTCACTCACTCACTCACTCACTCACTCACTCACTCACTCACTCACTCACTCACTCACTCACTTAGACGTTGCATCGTGCCTACTGGGACACTGTGTATACATAGGCGTTGCATCGTGCCTACTGGGACACTGTGTATACATAGACGTTGCATCGTGCCTACTGGGACACTGTGTATACATAGA